ATACCAAACAATCATGAATCAAACATGCACTTTATTTATTTACACTAAATATCAAAAGTACATCAAATCAGATTGAAGCTAAGGGCATACAAAACTGTCTAACACTTTTACGAGGCAACAAAGAATTTATCAAGGTCTAATTATGTAACAGCTAGTGGTTATTTTCATGAGATAATTGGAATTGAAGAGTGTTTGAAACAATATGAAAAATGTGAAGATCCTTGCTTTCGTGGGATGGCTAAACAAATGAAAGAAATGTTTGATAAATATTGGGGTAGCATTGATGAAACTAACATGTTTTTGATCATTGCAATAGTTTTGGATCCTTGTTATAAGTTGGATTATGTGAGGTTTTGTTATTCAAATATTTATGATGATATTGATAAGGTGAATCAGATCATGAAGAAGATTAAATACACCATGGATTCGACTTCTAGCTTGCCAATGAAACCTTCATCACAAGAAGTTCATATGGTAAATTGGAGAGGTGTATCGGTCAATATGAGCTTTTCAAGAGATATTGTGAGTTCTTACGAGCAAAGGAGACAATTGCAAAATCAGAGTTGGACTGCTATTTAGAGAGTGCAGTTGAAGATGAAGTCCGAAATTTTGACATTTTAAATTGGTGGAAATTGAAAAGCTCCAAATATCGTATACTCTCTCAAATGGCAAGGGATGTGTTAGCTATTCCTGTATTGGCTGTTGCTCCAGAGTCTGCTTTTAATGTGGGGGGCAGGGTACTTGGTGAATTCCATAGTTCTTTAACACCAAATATTGTTGAGGGTATGATTTGTGCACAGGATTGGTTACGATCATCACCAATTGAGGTTGAGGAAGATCTAGCAGAGCTTGAGGAGATGGAGGCTGGTACCTAAATTTTACTTATCTCTTAGCTTCTTCTTTTGTTTTATAAATTAGAAACTAATCTTATGAAGTTCTTTGTTTTGGTAGCTTTGATAGATTAAATTGGTGCTCCATCTCGTTCTGGTTCTGGTACAGCATCTTGTTTTGTTGCAGATCTAGCTCCACTGCATCATGAGTGCTTCAGGTGATTTAGAATTTACAAAAATTTATGACATTATTGATTTGTTTTCAGGACCATGAAGTTAATGGATTTTGGATTTGTGGCAGAAGTTTTGTTGGCGTTATTTTATTGTGTAGTAGTCTTTCTTATTTGGTGGTTATATCTTTCTGATTTGTTAGAGGGGAATTTTGAGTAGAAAATTATTTCTTATTTGTTGTTATATATGGAATTTTACTGAACATCTTTTAAGTGATATTAAGAATTTGAAATGGTGATAGAGCGCTCTTTTATAACAATGTATTTGATGGTGATGGACGGATTGCTATTTTCTGGTGGTTTTTAGATTAACAGCCAGCTTAACTTGTGTTTATTAAAGATAAAATCTACAAATCCAACTTTTGGTGTTCTCAACGGGTCAGATTACTAATCATGTCTGATGCCTTAGTACACCTGTTTTGAAATTTGAGCTTTAGTGGATGGCTTCTTAGAGTACAAATTGATTAGTTTTATTTATTTATTTATTTATTTTTGGATGAAAGAGTGATGGATGATTTACCTCTCAAGTCCCACCGGAGCCATTACTAACTTATAAACCTTGTACTGGACTTTAATGACAAAGAATATATGAACCAATGAGGGGATATGAACATTATACTGGATTTTGGTCTCTTCTTCGTTTTTGAGCTTTTCTGCTCTCTTTTTCTGACAGAAGAACAGGGGATCCACCCCTTCTTTTCCTTCTTTTTTTTTTTCCTATGATAAGAACATGGACTTAGCCCCTTTGTTTCTTAATCCTTTTCTGAGAATTGCTTTGTTGTTGACCTTGGCGCCTTGGCAACTATGGGATAAACGTGGTTGGTAGGTAAGAACTAACAAATCATTTAGAACAAAATTGCTTGTAATGTGCAGCTCTTCTATCATTCTTGGAAGGATAAACACAATAAGGAAGTTAAAAAAGAAAGCGAAATAATGAAACCCTAAAAGCAAAAAGTTAAAAGTTCCCTATCATGCCCAGGGTTGTAACTGACATCCAAAAATCACTTTTGTGTTCAAGATTGACGTAATCGGATGAATTGGTCAAAGTACTGATATTAAACCTATACTGTTTCACTTATTTATAGCCCGATTTGATCTGATAATTATCTGAACCAATTACATCATTATATATATAGTCCGATTTGATCTGATAACTATAGGTGCTCTTCAATCTTGGTAGTTGTTTTATGTTTTCAATAAACAAAATCATGCTTATTGATGAAAACCCCCCTTGTGTCAATGGAGGTGGTGGTGTGGCAGGCAGTCCAGCAACACCACCCGGTCCACCCCTTCTTTCTGGACGGAAACGAGTCTATCAGCCTAATACTTCCTATGGTAGTCTCAGTAGATGACCAATCCTTTGTTCAGATAGATGATCTTACTGTTAAAAATCGAAGATTAAAATATGAAATGCGAATTACCATAGGAGCATTTCCCAACCCTTGAATATAAGATAGAATGGATACGGCTGAAACATGCTTAAAACATCAATTCTAATTCTAAAACAGTAAATATACAGAGTTGCATAGGACAACGAGGCCCTGAATCATAATTTATTACTTCACGCTCAGAAACATGCTTGAAACATTCAGTCTAAAACTACATAGTTGCATAGGACAATAAGGCGATAAGGCCCTGAGTTATAATTTATTACTTCATGCCCTTGCACCATTCTTGATGACAAATCTGCTGTATCATTGGCCAACCATTAAATCCTCTGGAACGAGATGTTCGATTAGAAGGTCGCTGGCAAATCCATTGGAACGAGATGTTCAACTTGGACTTGAACTGTTTTCAAGAAATGTAAATGCCTCCATGGAATCCGGTCTACAAAATCGAACCCAGCCATGGCTATTATAAGAAAATTCTCTTCCAGAAACCCTTAAAACCAAGGGAATGACATCTACTAAGACCCTAGAGGGAAAGGCCTCGGTTTTTGTAATTTTGATATAAGAACGGAACAAACTCTGGAGATCTACTAACTGAAAACTCTGCTACGATTCTGAAAAGAAAAAACTATAAAAACTAGCTTTATCATCTGTATCTCGGATATTATAAAAAGCCTTCATTGAGAGAGAGGGAGTCATTCGTATGTCTCCTTATCAGCCACAAAGCTTTACGTTGAATTGAGTTGGTGTTTCTCAGCAGGACCTTCCCACTTTTCAATTATCTCCTTGAGTTTCTCAAATCCCTAGCAAAAAAAAAAAAAAAAAAATTGTAATCTTAATCAGTCATCTTAAATCAGGGTGCTGAAGAAAGATATGGAGACAACTTTTCAAGGTAGCAGGAAGGAGTATAAATACACTTTCTTGATCCCTGATGGCCCAAAGCAAAAAAGAGTAGGAAAGTAGCTTTATGTCTCACCATACGGATTGTGAAGTTGCCGAATGATTCTTCTGCCTGTCGTTTGTGTTTCCAATTGTAAAATAATGGTTCTAAAACCTTCTCCAGGTCATGGACCTTCACCTTGTCCATGAAGCATTTCGCTAGTGATGTTTGATTGGGTGTGCCCCCAAGCCATACCTGTTTCATAAAGCATGATACATTGGTTTGGTTTCTCTTGTTGCACATAAGAGATTTGCAACCTAACTGGAAGGCCATTCCATTCTCCAGATTTTAGTTATTTGAATGCTTTTTAACTACCTGATAGCTGTTGGGTCCATCACCCACGAGTCCAAGCTCAGCCATGTAGGGCCTGGCACATCCATTGGGGCATCCAGTTGCCCTAATAACTACTGATTCATTGTCCTTGAGACCAACCTGTAATGAGGATCTCTACATGTTAGCACTGGCAAGTGGTTATGCCCATGTGTCTATGCTTCAATATGGCTAATAAGAAAAGACTCATTGTCTACAGTAACTTACCTTATTAAATACAGCTCGTACTCGCTTAAGAATATCGGGTATCCCCCGCTCAGCTTCAGTTATTGCCAATGGGCAAAGTGGTAATGCTGGGCAAGCCATTGCAGTCAAATTGAGGGGATCTACATACCTAGGATCCTGTCCACAATTGAAACAATTCAAAATTTCTTTACCATGACTGTTAATGGTTTATCAACTAAAGTTATATAATGACCTAGAATTTATGATGTTTTGAAAAGTATAATCTGAAACTGCAAATATCAGATACTCAGATAGAAATGGAGAAGTTTCATTCATGAAGCTTTCAGATGGTAAATTTAAGGGAAACCCTAAAAATATATCAGAACCTCTACAATTTCCACTTAAAAAAATCTTACACAATGGTCATATGGTACACATTTAATTGCATTTCCATATTTTTTAATTGTTTCTAGATCAATCATTTCTTAGAAGTTTAACCATATGCCATATTTGGCCCATGAAACTGGAAGAGTGGGAGCTGGGAAAAAAATTGGTTGTGTTTCCTGTGCTATCCACAGGGCTCTTCTTGTGTGACACGTTAGTCCATATGAATCTATGAAACAGTAGCAGTGCTGAAGGCATGGCTGTAATGTATGGACTAATGTGAAAGACTCTCTAGACAGCACACCTGTCAAACATGGATGGCCAAAGTTTTCTCACAGTCCCCTTGACTGTTCAGTTCCTCCACCAACCTGGAAACACTTCCAGAATGCCACCCTCAGTCAATAAAGTTAAGAAATCATTTGTTGTTTGTCTTGTGAATTCATTCTTTATGCATTTAAAATTTCCTTTTTTGTTGTTTTAACTGTTCTTTGGATTTTCTTTTCTGATTTTTGGCTATTTGGATTTCTTTTGTTATTCCAAGAACTGCCGAATTGACTTTAGTTTTTGTTTGTTGAATATATATGATCAGCTTGTTATTTGAATCTTGTTATTGAACAAACATATAAAACAATGCATGCCTCCTCCCATTCAATTGTTTTCTTTTTATCATGTAAAGAATGGTACCTCTTCTGTTGGACATTGGCTCATTAATGATTTTTGAGTTTTTATGGTCAAATTATAATTATATTATCTTTTTCCAACATTTCTTTTTGCTTTTATCTTAGTGGTTTTTCTTTGTTTCAGGCTTCCATATCTTCAATTATTAATTAGCCTTCTGCTGACTCACAAGTCACCTTACCTGGATTGTGAAGTTATTTGAGTCAACAGAACTACAGGATCATTGATCTTTAAGTTCTAACCACTCTTTAGTAAAGTTATTTTTTCCCTTTCTTGATAAGATTTTTTAGTAAAGTTCGCATAAGAATTTGACTTCACAACTCTGATAATTGTGTTGGTAAAGAATCCGCTGATTTGTACTGAAAATCATAAATATTGTAGTACCAGGAATCCAGCTTGGTCAAGAGCTGCGGTGATAGAATCCCTCCAATCAGGGTGAATGTTACACAAGACAATGTTCTGGTTTGGTGTGATGCGCACATCCAAATTATACTTCTCAATCACCTCCCTTAAAGTCTTCTTCATGTTTCCCTTAATACGCCCATTATCAACATGAAGCCCACAAAATAGACCACCATCACCCTGCCACACAACACTTGATCCGTCAGAAAATAGTAAGGACGAGGACTAAATTATAAACATACTTTTACATAGGTTATGATTGGTATGAACAAGTTACTGAGCAGAATGAGAAGTTGGATTCAAGCCAAACAGTTAATGAATTGTAAAGAACATAAATCAACCCTGAAGACAGTCATCAAGGATGTTAGTAGGTAGGACCATACCTGTTCGTGCCATCCCAAATAGCTCTTGAACTGCCATTCTGGTAGTTCTCTGAAGGGCTCAAATTTCTTTCCATAGTATTGTTCAACAACACTTCTGAACTTCTCAATCCCCCATGAACTGATTAGATACTTCATTCTACTATATTTCCGGTCATCTCTTCTCCCATTTTCTCTCTGTGTGACAACAATTGCTTTAACAGCATATAATATATCCTCCTTTGGTACATAGCCCAGTGGCTCTCCCAGACGGGGGAATGTGGTCTCCAACCTATGAGTTCTTCCCATCCCGCCTCCAACCTAAATTGAAATTATTAGTGTGTTATATAAAAAATGGAATAGGTAAACTAGAAAATAGAAGCATAACAAAAATGATCAACTCACATAAATATTGAATCCTTGGGGCTTCCCATCAGCATCAGTAACCACAACAATTCCAATATCGTTAGTAAGAATGTCTATTGAGTTGTCTGTAGGCACAGTGACTGCAATTTTGAACTTCCTAGGCAAAAATTGAGTACCATATATTGGCTCCGGAGAATCAGGGAAATTAGTTCCATGGGAATTGTCATTACGGGCCTTCACTACCTCAGGAGGCTCTGCTGACATCATTTTCTCTCCATCAACCCACATGTCATAGTAAAAACCTGACTGAGGAGTTAGAAGTGCAGCAATGTTTTCTGCAGTCTCCTGTGCAAACAAATAATCTTTTCTTGCAAAAGGTGCTGCAGGAGCAAGAACATTTCTGTTCAGGTCACCACATGCACCAAGAGTTGAGCCCATGTTTCTGATTATAGTACTCATTACTGTCTTCAGGTCCTTCTTCAGAATACCATGTAACTGGAATGTTTGTCGGGTTGTCAGACGAAGAGTTCCAATTCCAAACTGGTCAGCCAGATCATCCATGACCAAGTACAGCTTGTTTGGGACTTTACCACAAGGATTCTTTGTTCGGAGCATAAATTGGTAGGACTTCACACCACGTTCATCCCTGTTATACTGCTGATAGCTTCCATGAAACTTGATCAATTGTGTGGCAGCTTCATTTATGTTGGGGGCTTCCGATAGTAGCTCTTCATTCAGAGGGTATCTCAAGAAATTACTTTGTTCTTTGATTATTTCAACCTTGCTACGCTTAGCCTCCTTGGAGGAGGCGTCTGGCTTTATTGGCTGTAAGGGAACAAGATTGATTATTAGAAATATATGATMAATTTCTTGCTCACTTACTGCAACTGATCAAAGAAACAAACCTACTAGATAAAAGGTCAACTGATCTATGCCCTATTAGGTGAATGGACAGGAGA